AATGATAACCTTAAAAAACGTAACGACTAGAATAAGGGCCATGTTATCATGCAATGCGGTCTCTGAGAGGGGTTGCATCTCAGCTCCTTGCTGTTTTTCTTCAACAAGCGTGCAAACTTGCTCCAAGATACTGCTTGGAACCTGGTCTAACAAAATATGTAAAACCTAGCCCCAACATTATCCATAAGTTTACCCACAAACTTGGTGCCAAAGCTAAACATAATCTTAACCAATAACCTAATCCCATTAACAACCCTTAACCCTGCCATCAAAATAAACCCAAAGTCAACATTAAACATAAACCCAAAGTCAACATTAAACAAACTCGTACCATCACTTCTAAAGCTAAATGCCAGCCCCAACTGGAAAATCCGATCCCTAAACTAAAATCCTAATCCTAACTATAAGTGCATCATTACGACCAAAACGAATCTAAAATGTCTACCTAAATCCCGCATGGGATATTAATAAAACTTCTGACATATATAATCTCTCATTACCCTTTCACAAGAATACATAGGAGTGTGCAATAGTTTCTTTGCGCATAAGACGAGTAACTGCATAAGAATGATCTTAGGTGGGTAACTGAACCAGAACCACGGTTACTAGATTGACGTTCGTATTCAGAGTCGCCGAACTTCCACACACCCGCCTCCAAGCGCAGTGACGGGAACACCTCATGTACCTGAATCCAGTACCTTATGCTAAATTTTTTTTCAAATAGAGATGCTCCCCCTCTATTGGAGGAGGAATTTGTGAAGAAAATTGCTCTCGCCCACGGGAAGACGCCAGCTCAAGTTCTTCTACGGTATGCCCTACAACGCGGTCTCGTGGTGCTGAACAAAAGTGTGAACGCGGACAGGATTAGGACTAACTTCCAGGTGCAAGTCACTCCTTTTGCTTTACGTAAAAATTGGGTACAATATTTCTATTTCCACCTTTTATTTGCACATTTATTGGCAAACTAATAGCGTTTGACCATAGATAGCAAAATTGGGAATAATGGTGCTATCTTGATAAGCCAGCAGGAATTTTTAATAGTGTGGTATTGGAACAGTCCTCCCTCATCACTAGTGAATGTGTAATCTCGTTTAATAATTTAAACAAATTTTTGTTTGAATGAGAAAATGCTGGTGAATGTATTTACAAATCCTCAGGCACGGCTGTAAAAAGAAATATAAACAGAAGTCCTTTTTACCTTTTCTCAACGGCCATGTGACGGCTTTACAGCATTTAAGGGATTTCTTATGGGAGGCTGGATGTCACGTTTCAACTCGCGACAATTAAACATTTAATTTTAACTCCACAGGACGGAAACTGCGTCGTGTTGATTTTTTTGTAAACCCAAGGTGCGACACTGCCAACCCGGTGTCAGACAGCAAATCAACCACCGCGAGCTTTTTCATGTGACCTGCCAGTCTCAAGGTTTAACGCACATTCCTCCCTCCACAGGGACTTGACATTTGCTTTTGGGTTTATTTATAGAGTTCTCACAAACAGAAGCACGTGCCGCTGCTGAGACAAGTAAATGCATAAACAAACTGTGTTCAGACAGTAGTGTCGACATCCTGTTGTGTACTTACCTCTCCACAGATATCCTTGCCTCTGCACCCGCTGTGGTTTTGTGTACATAGTAAACATAGTTGGATTCGTTTGTAAAACTGGCGTGTGCGTGTGCAGACGAGACTCGCAAGTCTGAAAAAGTGCGAAGCTGCCTGCTGTGGCTGCAAGTCATCAGAATTAACCTCCTTCTGCTCATCCTCCTGCTCCTGCTCCTCTTTCACTCTCCTCCTCCTTCCCACCCTCACTTTCCTCCTCCTCGTCCTCGTCCTCCTACTCCTCCTCTTCCAGCTGCTCTTCCTCTTCCAGCTTCGACTGCTTACCCTTCAAACAGCATGAGCTGAGAAAATGTTGACTTGAGCGAGAACCTATTCTACCTGGACTCGTGAACAGCACCTATGCTAGCTCACTGTTCCCATTATTCACTGAGATCACTCGAATTAAAGTTCCATAAAAAAGAATAATCAATATTACTGTCTGTTCCGCACTTCTAATTAGCCTGTTCTTCATAAAATTATTTCAGATCTTCGATTTCTCCCTGACGGAGGAGGAAATGGACACCCTAAAGGCAAACAGTCCGAACTGTCGTCTCTTCACAATGACAGCGTAGGTCCACGTTTGCCTACTGACATCTCTAATTCGCTTTTATTTCAGGGCTGCAGGTCATCCGGAATATCCATTCAAGGCGGAATTCTAATGCCGCGCTTAAATGATAGAAAGAGGACTTTTTGCCGGCCATTCTTCCCTATCAGGTGCCCTATAAGGTGCACCAAAGCAATATTACTTTTCAGACAACAATCAAGCACTTTTGCACATTCGGCCTCACAAAATGTCTACATACGTTTATTGGCTTGGTCTGCAAAACAGATCAAGCAATGGACCACATTTTACTGAAATTCATTAATTTTCTGACACATGACGCAATAAAACATTCTTCGTATTTTGAAAATTTATTGAAGTGATTGGCTAGGTAGGTATTTCTGGAATATTTCAAAGAAGCGGTGAATTTAGTATTGGGGGGACAAGCTAAGTAACTGTAACTAGTATGAGTTTCCGTATGCTCCACCAAAATAAAGAATGCCATTGTGTAGTGGTTTTCGTACAGCTTACCCGCGCAATTTTCAGGATTTTCGGATTGGGATTAGACCAGAAAACGCAAATGTTTGCGAGGAAGGAGACGAAGGGCTACGTACTGCGAAATTCTGTTCCCTAGTTTACGCATCAGTCACGGTTATGAAAACGAAAAATGAAGATACACGTCTGACTGATCGCAAGTTAACCGAAATCATGCAGGAAATTCGCCCAAATACAGGCTTTGAAATCACAACGTTTATGATGCATTCTAAAATAAGTGTCCTCTTTAACCGTACATCGTGGTGCTTTCAAGAGCCAAAAGCGGCCACCATTGACCTCGCTGAAATACCACCTATTGAGTGGCTTGATTAACAAAGTTCATTTTCCCGCTATAAAAGACGTCGTGAGGAAGCCTGACGATATCTCGACTCATTGTACCGAGACTGTCCATCTCTAAGAGACAGTTAGTCACACAACTGCAACTATAGCGAACTGAGGAGCATGGTTCTTTGACAAACAGTGTCTTTAACTACAAGTTTGCGATTAATTTATGGGTAAATTAAAAAGCAGCAATTAATTCTATTTCGACTGGAAGAAAATAAAACAGCCTTTTTGAAATCCCAAGAAGAGGAAGGAATTATCAGCTATGAACTAAGGGCTTTATTGAACACTGAAAACTTTTGCTGCTGAACTCAACTTTCTTAGCATTGTCTTTCGTCTCCGAGATATTTCAGCGATTCAAAGTGATGGCGTCAATCACATGATCCATACGGTGGCCGCAGTACCCATGGCGTGTAAGCCAATTAATTTCTAGCGGGGTAGCGGCACCTACCTCATCCGCTCTTTCCTCGCCTCAGCCCGCGCCGAAACAAGAGGGCGTCAAGGTGACCGCAAGTGGCCTCAGATGCCCTAGCTGACAAATGGAAGCGGCGTGTCACACATGACCTAGTCTGCCCAGTTTGCATCAGGCTCTAACCAGGGCAGCTTGGATCTCACATAGGTAAATATGCTCTTGAGGCCACCTCGGGAAGGACCCAATGTCGCCTGACTGCCAGTCCTGAGGGGGACCGACGTTGCCCCGTTAGTTGGCAGCCTTCCCAACCAGGAATGTTAGCGACTTTTGAAAAACCCGAACATATCATGTCAATTACGATAAGGGGTGCGCTGACTTTGTCCATGTAGAGTAACCTTTCCTTGCCGTCACACCCCCGAAAACAGTTATATTATTAGCTTAATTCTGAGGTAAGGACTGTCAGGCTTTCGCACTTAGGCGGGGGTAGTATTGGATTACAGTGTTTCCCCGCTCTTGCAGCCATTGTTGCACCAGGCTGCGACATCTGAAGAAGGTCGTCTTGTTTGCGTCAGTCGTACGGCAGATGTAGGCGTTGTGCGGACCTTTATTACTAAAGAGGATATAGATAACTCCTCTTCCCTTGTGAGAAAACAAGTACTGGTTTTGGTAACGTACGTGACAACGAAAGTGAATTTCCATAGTTGGCACTATTTTGTCTCCAAACTGGCGTTGACTTCTGGAGGATGAGTCAGTTGATTGCTGAAAGCTAATGAGTGGTTAAATACATTCAAAAGAATAGTAGGTAACTCACCTGGTTGGCGATTACCTTTTTTAGTCGTCGGCAAGGCTAGAGTCAAAGCCCCATCTTAGAAGTGAAAAGCCAGTCATCTGTCAAGCCGCGGGCATGTTGTGGCTCTCTCGCCTCCGGACGGGAAATAAGACCTGCAGCTGCCAATGCTGCGAGCCCGAGAGCATCCGTGTTTCCTTTTTTTCGACTTGGGAGGCGAAAAAAGCTGTTAATCAGGAGGAGGCAGTGTTTCTCGCAGGTCAGAGGGGGAGGCCATTTTCGTGGCAGATCTATTCTGACGTTAAAACTCAAGCCACCCTACAGCTTTCGTTGATGAACGTTCACCAATCGGTTACGAAACTCCCTCGTTGTGCTTTAGGGCTCGCTCTCGAGCTCCGCCGGCCTCGAGCACAGCGGCTAGTAGTGTGTAGACTGCTCTGCCGATTGTCTTAAACAGAATAAATATTCCAGACTGACTACTGTGAACAGACTCATTGAAGTAGCCTGTGGGGTGAGGATGGGGGCTGTGAGTTTGTTATCTTTTATCGACCTTGAGTTCGGCATCTACCAGCCACGTTTTAATTGCGGATAGCGTACTTTTACAGCTTTTTAAAGTCTCCTTTTTGGTCGTTTTCTCGCCCCCAGTTCCCTGATCCAGACACCCAGGCGGGTCAAGTCTTCGTTTTTTGAAGGAAGACCTGAGTTAGACCGGGTCGCCTAAGAGCTTGCATGTCCTTCTCTCCATAGGACATTTTAAGCCACAGTAAGTAGATCTGAAGGAAAGCATGACGGTCGGGTGTGGAAGAAGAGAGAGGTACGCTTTATTTTGAAAATATCATCCTATAATTTTCAGTAGAAAACGTCCTGTATTCAAAAGGAATAAAATTAGGCGCAAAAACTCACAACACCGGGACTTTAAAAGTAATCCACAATCGCCAGTGACTACAATTTTCGACATCGTAGATAAATTTGCTTGGAAAAACAGCCAAATATAGGTCAAAACGGTGCTAGCGTCGTGACCTCCTGCACTCATTCCCTCATTGTAGTTCAACTAAACAAAGAAGATAAAAAGAAGTTTTTAATGGACGATGTATTTATAAAAAAAA